TACTCTACCTTGAACACCTTTAGAGATAAGCAGTATAAAACAATAAATTTTGTACGGGAGGAACCATGTCCCTTTTTCGAATAACGCAAATTTTTCTACATGAGTATGGAATTAATTTTGTGTACACATCCCGGTGCCAAGTTCCAGTCTTCTGCAATAAACACCTCCAGAGATATGCAATTTGCATTGGGAGTTGCCACACCACCTTTTCCAATAACTCTCATTTTTCTCCATGAGTATGGTATTAGTTTCACATACATACATGCATACATATGTATTTCCATACCAACCTTGAGTGCTTTACCCCAAACATTTAAAGAGACATACAATATGAAACTTTCAGTCAGTATGGGAGGTGCTACGCCTCTTATCCAAAAACCTCCATTTTTCTCCGTCAATATGAACATGATTTCACACAGTGTTGGCAAACTGTTAATCTGATTAACGATTAAAAATTAACGATTAAAATGTTAATCGCGTTTGACGATTAAAATTAATGAGTCGTAATCAACTGTACGATTAATGATAACATTTTTTTAATCGTTAATCGCTGGCTGCGATTACGTTTAATTAATTTAAAACATTAATCGTTAATCCAATTAAAAATAAAATCTGATTAATTTGTCTAGTTTTTCCGAGTTTGAAACCAAACACCAGTTATAGTAATTATTTTGTGTTTTACGCTTATAAAAAGCACATAGTAAAAAAAAATTATAATTATTGTTAATAGTAATACATAAACTGGGAACTTTTACAAACCTAGCTTGTAAAACGTTTGTTGGTATATATCTTAAAGAAAATGTACACCAAATTGCTTAGATTGATGAGGAAGCCCGACTTAGCCATACCGGTTTAACTTGCTTTGTGTGCACATGGAAATTCCAGCATAACTTAATTAATCACCGAACCTACTTGATCAAATTAAGAGTTAACGATTAAAAATTAATTTTTTAATCGCGGTTACGATTAACTGTTTAGTCAGATTAAAATTAATCATGATTAACTGTAATCAGATTGAATTAATCGAATTAACTAACTAATTAAAACAACAATCGATTAATGCCATCATTGATTTCACATACATATCACTATACCAAGTTTCAGTTCTCTCCCACAAATACTTTCAGAGATATGTATGTAATATGAAAATTCCAATTTGTATGGGAGGGGCCTTGAGTTATCGGACTTACTTTCAGTCTAAGACCATCCTTCCGAAATCCGTAGTAAGTGTACTAAATTTCCTTCTGATCGGAAAACCGGTTAGGGAAGATTTTTTTTTGTTCAATCCAGGTCATAAACCATCTTTGAACAAAACTTCATTTTCAAACAGGTGGAAATTCTTAAAAAAATAGCCTATTTTCCAGTCTAGGTCATAAGCTATATGTGTGCAAACTTTCATGCAAATCAGTTCAGCCATTAACGCGTAATAATTTAATAAAACTTTCCTAATACGTGATAACTCTTAAAATAGTAGCCTATTTTCCAACATAGGTCATAAGCTATCTCTGTGCGAAATGTCATGCACATCTGTTCAGTCGTTTCCGCGTATTAATTTAATTAAAGCTTTTTTAACAGGTGGCAACTCTTCCAAAAAATTAGTCTATTTTCCACTGTAGGTCATAAGCTATCTGCTTGCAAAATTTCATGCAAATCCGTTCAGACTTTTCCGCGTATTAATTTAATTAAACTTTTTTAGCAGGTGGTAACTCTTAAAAAAGTAGCCTATTTTTCAACCAAGCTCATAAGCTATCTGTGTCAAAAATTCCATGCGAATCAGTTTACTCATTTCCGCGTATTAATTAAATTAAACATGTCTAACAGTTGGCAACTCTTAACTTTCTAACCAAGGTCATAAGCTATCTGTGTGCAAAATTTCATGCAAATCCGTTTAGTCGTTTCCGCGTATTAATTTAATTAAACTTTTTTAACAGGTGGCAACTCTTCCAAAAAATTCGCCTATTTTCCACTGTAGGTCATAAGCTCTCTGCTTGGAAAATTTCATGCAAATCCATTCAGTCGTTTCCGCGTATTAATTTAATGAAACTTTTTTAACAGGTGGCAACTCTTAAGGAAAGTAGACTATTTTCCAACCTAGGTCATAAGCTATCTGTGTGCAAATTTTCATGCAAATCCATTCAGTCGTTCCCGCATATTAGATAAATTAAACTTTTTTAACAGGTGGCAACTCTTAAAAGAATAGCCTATTAACCAATCTGGCTCATAAGCTATCCGCGTACAAAATTTCATGCAAATCCGTGCAGTCGTTTCCGCGTGATGATTTCCCAAACATCCAAACATACAAACTTTCACATTTATAATATTAGTAAGAAGTAAGATAAGATTAGTAAGATAAGATTATTGAGTTACTTCTGAGTTACTTGTAATTCAAAACACTTAGAACTTTATTTTTCTTTTTGATATCTAAATTAAAGCTATACCTATTTTTAGCAGTCATATTGTAATTTTGGTCATGAAGAGTTTGCAGAGAAAACATGTAAAATAAAACCGGTTTATCCGGTTTGTTCTTGATTAGAAAATTGGGAACCGGTTTTTTTTTCAAATTGCAATTTTTCGAATAACTCGAAAACGGGTTTTCGAAAAATGGCGAAAAGTTGAACACCCCAGTATCAACTCTTTGCCTTTGCATTAACACATTTCAGAATATACCCACACTAACCAAAGTTACTTTTCATGTGATGAAATAGCAGTTAATATCTTTGATGGTACTGTATCTGGATTTAGGTGTATTCTTTTCACTTGATTTCACTTGATATAAAGCGCAGAGCGCAATCATTCGATGATGCGGCCAGTTGAACATCACACTAGTGATGCACAGAACCGAGAAACTGGAGAACCAGGCCATTTAGAGAACCTACCCGTCCGGTTCTTTCAAGAACCGAAAAATGGTTCTAAAGGAACCGAAAAGCCAAAAGAATCGAAAAACGGTTCCAGAAGAACCGGAAAATTATCTCAGAATAACCGAAAAAATATTGATTGTTTTGGCATAAAGTCTAAGTATGAAGATATCAGCCCAAACTTCGGTTTAGTTACAGTCATTCACAGAAGTATTCGTAAATTAGTTTTTTCACAATATTCAAAATGTTTTCCATCATAAATCTTTTTCGCTAATTTTCATTTAAAATATAGCTCATTCTATACCGAAAATCATATAAATCATTCTTGCAAACTTTGTACAAAATTCATAAAAATGAATCAAACTTAAAAAAAATTTCTTCAAAATTTCAAACTTTTTATTCAGAATTTTTGGAAAAATTTTCAGCCAGTTCAATTTTAGTATAATAAAGTGCGAGTTTCAGGCAGCTAAAAATTACTGCTGATTTTTTTGAATTTTTTTTTGTCGAGAGTGTTGCGCATTTTCTTCCATATAAAAATAAATTTTGTTCATATTGAAAAAATGCGCTTACTGCTGATTTTTTAGAATTTTTTTTGTCGAGCGTGTTGCGCATTTTCTTCCATATAAAAATAAATTTTGTTCATATGGAAAAAAATGCGCAACACCCCCGACAAAAAAAAATCTAAAAAATCAGCGGCAATGTTTAGCTACTTGACACTTGAACTTTATTATACTAAATTGAACTGGCCACAAAACTGCATACTGAAAAAATATTAATATAAAAATTCTGAATAAAAAATTTTTAATTTTTATGACAATTTTTCGATTCATTTTTATGAAATTTGTACAAAGTTTGCAAGAATCATTTATATGGTTTTTATCATAAAATGATCTATATTTTAAATGAAAATTAACGAAAAAGATTTATAATGGAAAACATTTTGAATATTGTGAAAAAAGCTAAATTACGAATACTTCTGGAGTGACTGTATGTATTAAAGAGTTCAGAGTTGGCCCACAAATTTTTTTTCGGTACGAGGCATATATCCGATCTGGTCGACTTACATAAACTTCGTTGTTTTTTATGCTATCTGTCAGCTGCATGTTGAATGCGTCAAAAGAGCAGCGACAACATCATGTTTTTAAATTTTTTTATGAAATGCTAATGTGGAAAATGCGTATTTAAATTTATTTTATTTTTATAAATTTTTTTCAAAACAAATATCAACTAACGAATGAATGAAAACCGGTCCAAATTCCCGGTTTTTCGACAGAAACGGTTCTTTAAATACTCGGAACCGCACATCACTACACCACAGCATTCATCCTTTTCGGTATAACATCTATCGGCAAATTAAACTTACCTACCTCATAATTGTGCGTGCTTACATTTCTTTCCGTTTTGACATTCTAGATTTCTCAAGAAAAAACAAAATATATGGCAGGGTTGTGTTTGCTCTACTGCTATAATCTGTTTAATATGCCTTGGGTAGTTCCGCACAAACAGCGAGTGTCTGGCATTTTTAATGAAATTTTTTCTTTGATTCTCTTTGTTTTCCAAACAAATTTTTTTGTTGATTTGAAATAAAAAAATATTAAATACAGTGATTGAAACAAATAAACACGTGTTGAGTTCTTTTTTAAATATTCGTATGTTTTTCGAGCTAATTTTTTTTGTTATATTTCTATAAAACTACCGTCCAAGCTTTAGTCAAAACCATATAAATTACAGTATCAAAATTTTTTTTGTTGAAAATTTGTTGAATTTCCCCAAAGTTTGAAACTGTGATTTATATGGGTTTGGTTAAAGCTTGGACGGTATTTTTATAGTAAAATAATAAAAAAATAGCTCCAAAAATATTACGAATTTTTAAGAAAAATCAATACATGGTCATTTGTTTGAGTTACTGATTTATAATGTGGCTACTGGAAAATGGGTTAATGCAATGACAAAACTGTTCTCAAATAAGCGTATCGAAAATAAATATTATATACATATATTGATTTTACTTTGTTTATTACACTATGACTACCTCTAAAATATTTGTATCATGAACGTAATGACAAGGGCATTTTTGCATTGACAACTTTGTAATTAAAAAATGTTGTCATTTAATGCTTAGTGGAAATACGGCATTATAATTACGTGATTTCAATGTCTTGAAATAGTTCTCCTATCCAAGCGATGGCAAGGCAATAATGTTGGAATAGCTGTATAAGAAGTTCAGCTTCATCGAGCATTTCTAGTCTTTCCACACGTTGTCGCTCGACCTGCGATATACTTTGATAAACCTGCACCATGTCCCAGGCCCGACTTCCTGTCCACCCGCATTCGAGAAATCTACTCATTTGTGTATCTAAAGAAATACACGACTCAACGCCAGCTAAACTGCAACCCCTACTTCGCAAGTTGTTCAGCATAACTTCCCCAAATCTGTCGTTCATATTGACCTTAGTAATAAAAGCAAACAGAAATCTCTTATATTTTGTTATATAAAAGTGCAATACAAACGAAAGTTCTACCTGCTCGTAGTTAACAAAAACAGCAGTACTAAATTTACTAGCAATCCACTTGAGCAAATTTTTGCAATTCTGTGCCTCGATATACACTAATACACACTCGGCAAGAAAAATCGTCGGAAGGCCGTAGTCAATTTCAGCTTGTTGAAGTTTATTATCCAAATCGTCGACATTGCGAAGGTCAACACCCATCAGGTGATAGTTTGGACCATGCAAATCGGTTGTGCTAAGACGAACTTCGCCATCTTCGTCATGGATTTTGGCGAGTAAAGCTTTGTTGCGCTTAATAGTATAGCATTTTCGGGCGGTGACTGTAGGAAAATCCAGCTCAATAAAATTTTTTATCTGATGTAGTGCATCCCTCAGGCGAAAATACAAGGTATCGAATCCACACCCTAGATTTATGATTTGGCAATTTCCATCAGTTTTCTAAAAAAATACAATCAAATATATAAAAGTTTATTCAAATGTTGCAAAAACTGCTTAAGTTGAAGGCCGACTTTAGTTTATTTTTTACTTTATTTTATTGACCTTATTACACAAATTAAAAGGAGTTTTTTAATGGGAGTGTTCGAATATCGAGGCAGAGTGCTAGCCTCAAAATTACTTCGTTCTCATACACTTAAAAATAGCATTTAAATGCCTGCCACTACCACTGTAAAAGTTTGAACTATAAATTCACGAATTCATACAAGGTGAAAGCGGCAGCACATAAACAAAAAACTATAGCAAACATATTCTGAGCGTTCAGAATATATGAGTGCGAAAGGACCCCTAGGTGGGTAAAAAATATGAGTTTCAAAAACGAAAAAATTTTCACTCTGATATGAATCTTTGTGCCAATATAAACACAATACAGACTCGAAATTTATATCTAAACTAGTTCACACAAGGTGCATTAAACAAGGTGTGATTGACAACTCAGTGCGGCTCTCTTTTAAGGTACAATAATATCAAAAAATATAAACTACCGATTCAAAATTCACCTCTAAAATGTTTTTGAAGAACACCGAATCCGTTAAGCCAGTCTTAAACAAACCGAGGTTGTGACACTACCTCAGATATTTTCGGAGTCAACATCACTGAAGCGAGCCCTTACATCTTCGGCCACTCGGTGCATTGCGTGCCAAACAAGTAACGTGCAGTAACTTTGGGTAAAATACTTTCAGCGTTTTTGCTGATTATACCATATCGAGCCCTAACCGCCAAAAAAACGTAAGCGACATATTTTTCAAAAGTTTTCTTTTTGATGCAGAAATGCCCGGGCACCCTGAAATTGTGCATATGGAAACTGTGCATACGAAATAATGCATATGAAAAAAACCGAAATAATGCATACGAAAAAAACCGAAATAATGCATATATGCGCAGTTTCGGTTGAAAACCGAAATAATGCATATTAGAAAAACCGAAATTATGCATATGCACTCTTTCGTTTGAAAACCGAAATAATGCATATGAAAAAACCCGAAATAATGCATATATGCACAGTTTCGGTTGAAAACCGAAATAATGCATATGAAAAACCCGAAATAATGCATATGAAAAAGCCGAAATAATGCATACATGCACACTTTCGTTTGAAAACCGAAATAACGCATATGAGAAAAACGAAGTAATGCATACTTGCACAGTTTCGGTTCAAAACCGAAATAATGCATATGACAAAAACCGAAGTAATGCATACATGCACAGTTTCGACTCAAAACCGAAGTAATGCATATGACAAAAACCGAAATAGTGCATACATGAAAACGAACTTCTTTCTGAGTAGGCGGCCTTCGGTCGCGCTTAGGGATTATAACCCTTACTAAGTAGAATTCTCCTTTCTGTGTTGCCGGAAAAGAAGGGCGGAAGTATTTTTGCGCAGAACTTCTCTCTGCGTAGGCGGCCTTCGGCCGCGCTTAGGGATTATAACCCTTACTAAGTAGAATTCTCCTTTCTGTGTTGCCGGAAAAGGGGACCGGAAGTATTTTTGCGCAGAACTTCTTTCTGCGTAGGCGGCCTTCGGCCGCGCTTAGGGATTATAACCCTTACTAAGTAGAATTCTCCTTTCTGTGTTGCCGGAAAAGGGGACCGGAAGTATTTGTGCGTAGAACTTCTTTCTGCGTAGGCGGCCTTCGGCCGCACTTAGGGATTATAACCCTTACTAAGTAGAATTCTCCTTTCTGTGTTGCCGGAAAAGGGGCCGGAAGTATTTTTGCGCAGAACTTCTCTCTGCGTAGGCGGCCTTCGGCCGCGCTTAGGGATTATAACCCTTACTAAGTAGAATTCTCCTTTCTGTGTTGCTGGAAAAGGGCAGCGGAAGTATTTTTGCGCAGAACTTCTTTCTGCGTAGGCGGCCTTCGGCCGCGCTTAGGGATTATAACCCTTACTAAGTAGAATTCTCCTTTCTGTGTTGCCGCAAAAGGGGACTGGAAGTATTTTTGCGTAGAACTTCTTTCTGCGTAGGCGGCCTTCGGCCGCACTTAGGGATTATAACCCTTACTAAGTAGAATTCTCCTTTCTGTGTTGCCGGAAAAGGGGGCCGGAAGTATTTTTGCGCAGAACTTCTTTCTGCGTAGGCGGCCTTCGGCCGCGCTTAGGGATTATAACCCTTACTAAGTAGAATTCTCCTTTCTGTGTTGCCGGAAAAGAAGGGCGGAAGTATTTTTGCGCAGAACTTCTCTCTGCGTAGGCGGCCTTCGGCCGCGCTTAGGGATTATAAACCTTACTAAGTAGAATTCTCCTTTCTGTGTAAGTAACTACGACTTACCGTTAATTTTTAGCATTTTCTTTATGGGTG